AAAACTAACTGTATTGTGAATGTTACTACAGAGGTATCCCATCTTGAGCTAAGTCTTCAGGGTTGCCTGGGACAAAAAGCATCTTCCCATAGATTATCCAAGAACAATCCTTCGAGAAAGCAGTTATCTACCAAGTTAAAAAAAAAAAAAAAAAAAAGATTCTCACTATATTTACCACACATTCTACTACAGATCTTTTTCTTCAGCTATAGCATTCAATGCTAATCCAAGAACTAAAAAAAGCAGCCTTTTCGTTTTCTTGCTTCAGGATTAAGTTTGCATTTGATAGTGGGCATTTAATCTTTCAGACAGTTTATAGCATCCTGATGATGTCATCTTATCTTGATGATTAAAGACAGATTTAGTCTTCCAGTCAGGGAAAACATTCAGTCTCAAAGGGAGCTTTAATCACAATAATTGTTTGCTATGTTGAAATTACCCCAGCAAACAGCACTGCTGACCTTCCCTCTGCAGGAAATTCAAGCTTCTGTCAATTGGTCAGTCAGGATTACTACCATGTCACACCAGATTGGGATTGAATATGGACTTCCCAGAGCAAAGATACGAGAAAACTCATTTGTGCAAGTAGAATATTGCAGATACCTATTATTTTGGGCTTGTTTTCCTAAATTGTCTTTAAAAGATACCTTGGGTGGTTCCAATCACTGTCTGAAGCCACTGTCTCCTCTGATTAATCACATATACAATTATTGTATAGGGTTTTTTTCTTTTGGGATCTTTATAAATCAGGCATCAGCCACTGTCAGACTAATGCTGCTGCCTTCTTCCTTCAACTCACTGTCAAATAAAAATATAGTCACCTCCCAAGCTACTTCCCCTGAGATAGGCAAGTCTCAACTGAGAATATTTTTCAAATGCACAAACCAAGTAAGGCTTTTATCCCTTGAAAACTGCCCATTTGAGACAATCTCTTCATTCCAAAAATGTCTTACCTTCTGGCTGAAGTTCTAAAGTAATCAACAGGAATGCCACAGAATAAGAGATGGGAATAAAGGCAGCTGACTGAAGGTTTGACATAAAAATAAAGTGTTACAGTTTTATTTTTCTGAAGCCCAAATCCTTTGATATTAAAACCAACAGCTATTTTCCCACTGACTTTAAGGCTAAATTATACAAGTAAGAAATGTGCCATCATTTATATACATTTAAAAAAAATACCTCTTTTTGAGGCCAATTATTGCAATAGCAATTTCAATACTGACTAAAATCTTGAATTACTCTGAACATATAAAGCATTTATTACATGACAAGAGTATGCAAGAATAAGAAAGACCCACATATGTGGCACTTAGGGACATAGTTCAGTGTGGACTTGGCAGTGCTGGGTTAACAGTTGGATTTGATAAACTCAGAGGTCTATTCCAACATAAATGATCCCATGTTTCTATGAGGACTGGGTAATATAGCCTTCTAAAACACCCTCTGAAACATTAAGACTAATTTTTGTGAAGCATTTCATCACCTCTGAGACATGATTGTGTCTCACAAAATGTGCAGATTGGAGCAGTCTTTACAGTTTATCTTGTTCCACCTCTGCTCCTGGGAGTGATGATTTTTTTTTTCTTGTGTTTGCCATTCTACTTCAAAGTTATGAAATCAACAGGACTGTCACTCTGCACATGAAGGTTTATCTACCATTGTAACTGACACCCCACCAGTATTTCTTCCTCCAATATTGTTTTTTTCCAACTCTTTACCAAAATTAACTTTGAAAATTTATCAGCTGAACATTGAAAGGCTGTTAAAAATTAAAAATATTTAAATTCTATAGAAAGTGTTTTTATAGATGGATAGGAAGAAAACTTGCATGCAGCAAGTTGCTTGGAGTTGTAGCTATTCTGGCTATCTTTCAATTTTTCTTCATTAAAATTGGAAGATGTTTGCCCCAATTAACATTCAAAACTTTAAATCTCTGAGGTAAAGCAGAAATAAACAAATTGGCATTTAATGCACTCTTCTTTCCACTCTGCCTCATCCACCTAGCTTGAAAGGTTGGTGTTCTGCCATCCAATATTCCAGTGCACATCATCTCTCCCTGTCTACTTCTCTCCCTTTGCAGACTACAGTTAATACCATGGAGCTCTGCAGCTGCAACTTTTCTGGCCCGAAACAATTTCGAAAGGCATCCCAGTACCTAACGCTTTGAGTTTCTGAAAAACAGTTTAATGTAAAGCACTGCAGAAAATCATGGCTTGCTCCATTTTTTCACAGAGATCAAGCTGACAATACTGTTCTCAAAAGTTCCTGCATATTTTAGCACTTGTATCTCCTTCACCACCACAGAAAGAACAGGTCACCAGGAGCTCCAGCAGGTGAGTCTCACAAAATGAAATGGGACAATAATCCTACCAGACATCATAGTTGGTATTTACACCAGAATAACAGAGAAGCTTGAAAGCTTTTCTTCTTTTCAAACTGAAATTAATAAAAGAATTTATCAGACAAAAGTCTTCCTCCTTTTCAGATTATGAAATTCCACCATTTACCTCTAGTCACTGCGTAGATCTGCCCAATATCATAGAAACACCATAGGATTTGAATTTAGACCATGCTAAAATGGAATAAAATTATTTTATTGCTTCAGAACTCTCATGTAAATTTCATTTAAGCTTGTTAGTATGAAAGTGTACACACACAGCCTCAAGCTCCTGCTTCCTATCTTCACTGCAGCCCAGCTGGTATCTCTGCATTTTGCTAAGACCTCCCATCACCCTACTTAATCAGGCAGAAACAGTCAATTGCTTTCTAGAGAGATCTGAGACCAGCACATCATTTTCTTCCATGTCTTTGCCTATTTTGACACTGAAATCGCACACTATTTCACTACTCCTACTCTTGCAGCACTGCCCCTCTGAGGTTTTCTATTTATTTCTCGAGACTTTCCCCTGACATATTATGAATTTTTCTGTCCTTCCACGCTTCCCAGAAATAAAAACACAGTGTAAAGCTCTCCTTCTTTGTCCTCTCCCTCTTCTTACTCCAGATCAATTCTTTGATAGGCAAGATCAAGCATATGCAGGGTGAGAGAATTTTTCTCCTAAAAGTGGATGGAATGTGGCCAGTTAATATCCTCACCTTCTTTTTTGCTTTCAGCTCAATCCAACTGATTCTGGGTTTTTCTCCAAAGAAAACCAAGTCTTCTTTCCTCAGCTCTTCTAATATGGCCCAGAGAGCTCCTCTGTAGGTTTGACCCAATATCATCCTCTACCAACAAACTGCTAAAGCTAAGAGTAAGTTAAGAAGGATGTAAGACGGACTGGGTATTCAAGCAGTAGGGTAATGCTCCCTCCCTTGAGCCATCCCACAGAAATGCACAGGATTAGCTTTGGCACTTGCACCACAGGAGCAGCAGCACTGAATTTGAACTGCTGCCATCCAGGAGAAGCCAAATGCAGCAACCAGGAACAACCTCTGAGGGAGCAGCAACACTAAGAATGATTCTTCTGCTGAAATAGTTGTTGGTTGATAGAATTCATCATGATGTGATACATGGAAAAAAGGCAGAAAACCCACTCAATAATGATTCCTGAGACACGAGAGAGACTCTCATCTTATTTTCTTTTTTTTTTTAACAAGCCTGTGATGCTTTGTAGGTCAGTTACCAGCATCTTGTAACAACCTACACTCTTCCAAGTTGCACATGTACTTAAGAGCTAGAAGAAAACATCTAAAAAGCCCTTAAAGCTCATCTAAGCTCTGTATTTAGGTATCACATATTAAACAATGATACCTAGCTTTTACAAGATCAGAAGCAAGTACTGCAGACCACTACAGATCCCCCGTGTTTCTTCCAAGAAGGAAAGTTTTCCATATTCTGTACACCTGAAGATAGTTTGACCTTCCCAGAGTGCTCTAGTGCTGTAATAAAGAAAAAGAATTTCACTAGCAAAATACCTAGGGAAGCCCCCCTCCATGTAATCTGTCTGAAGGTTTTCAAGGACTTGGAAAGTTCACATTAACCTCTGGTTAAAAAAATGTACTATGATACAGGAAAATAAGAAATTATTAAGTGTGTTCTTCTGAGGGTCTGTCTAACAGACACTTTTGTGCCACTCTTACAATGTTCAGTGTAATCACACATCATGGAAACTGATGTCCCAATTAACAGATCAAATCACAGAAAACTATTCATGCAGGAAGTTAGTGTCCCCAAAGAAACATCAATAAACTTGTACTTGCCAAATGCTCAGACAACAGGCAAAGAAATATGCTCTTTTACTGATGGTTGCCAAGCTTGACATTGTCTTCAAAGGTACTAACATCGTAATAACTCTACATTTTTCAGTCTTGGATCAGCATTTTTCTTACATAAGTTTATAACAACTTGCATTTCTGTAATGTAGCTCCACTGTAAGTCTTCTCCAAAGCATTTTTTCTAGTTTTTACTGCCCATATTCTCACTGAAAATGATTTTTTCTAGTTTCTTTTTAGCACACCTTAAGGAGAAGTTAAAAACTGACTTCACCCAGACCACGCTATAAAACATTTAAAAATTGATTATGTTGGGTAATTGCTTCTGATTCTTTGGTACCTTTGAAAGTTAGAAAAAAACAATTAAGTTATTCACTAACAATTCTCTGCTTAGCCTCTATTATAGTAACTATCAGTAGCATTTCCCACATTACAAGAGCTGCAAGTGTGTATGAGTTAAGCAAACGTAACCATGTCTGAGCACATTCATTAGCAAATCACCAAAACAGATAAAATACTAACACATTTTTTACATTTGAACTCAGCCAGAAAGCCATTAACCTCTGCCTTGGTGTAGCCATACAACTACAGCACTGGACATCAGAAACGAGCACAAAATACTAGTAAATGCATGGCACATTTTTTGAAACAAAGTAACAAACCTAAGCATCTATTTCACAGAAGTTCAGGATCCCTCCTTTCAAGTTGTTTTTAAATGTTCCTTGGTCTAAAGTTGCATTTTTTCAATGTCCTCTTTCTCCCATACAGCAAAAGACTCCACAACAATAGCTGTTTATACCACCCTTTTTATTTTTCAGCCAGAAATACATTTTCATTGGGTGTTTCAATAACCAGTGGTGTTTATTCCTTAAACAAATCCCCATCTCTTTGGCATCTGACCATACTCTCTTTTTCAAACTAAAGACTATATAGGAAGACTTTACTTTCAATGTATTGTTCAATACATTAAGTTTACACAGGTATAGTTAACTTTCAAAAATACACACTGTTTTTTTATAACGTTTCTAACAAACCTAAACAAAAGATAACCCAACCACAAAATGCTCACTACTGGGCTGCCTTCATTTAAAACTGTGGAGTGAGTGACAGAATTAGAACTTTTCATTTTCCATAGCACATGCACTAACTAGTGCTTTCTATCCATTCTGAGTGATAAGCAAACAAACAAAACAAATCTTAATTCTATCAGAAACAACTGATCAAATAATTTACATTTAAAACCAGCATGACATTACTTTTAACTTCTGCAAAGGTCATCAGCCAAAATCAAGTTGCACACTCCTTCAGTAACAGAATGCATCTAAAAAAAAAAGTATGAAAACTATTTTTTGTTTTTAAACTTTAAGTTATTAAAATGTTTCAAACACACCTAGGAATACAGCTGTCAAAACCTGCGTTTGATGTCATGTTTGGATAAAAATTCATTAAGTAACAAAGGTAAGCCAGTGTATTCAACCTACTCTGTTGAATAATCCAGGATCATCTCTTCAATGCAGATATAGATATACTTCACTTGTACCCTTTCAAATAAAATCAGCCCTCCAGATCTCAAGTGTTCAGTGCTTCAAGTCAACAGAATTTCCAAATCTACGCTGATGTTATTTGACACCTTCTGCTACTACACATGGTACAGAAATCATAAATTAAACTCAAAAACATTACTGACATACCAGTGCAGACATTCAAATTTGTCTCTCAAGACAATGTAAAAAATAAAATCAACAAAAACAATAAAATCTTCACTCCTCAAAAGATTTGCTTTAAAAAACCCACATACTTATTCTGAACATGTTTTATAGGAAAGGCAAAGCAATTGCTTCCATGCAGAAATTGAAAAAATAATTTAATAGGATTCAAGTAGCAAAGGTTTGCTTTATAAGCAAATCTCACCCTCATCACTAGCACAAGTACAGTATAAAATTGTTTGAACTGGATTGTTTAAATAGAAAGTGATTTATTCAGTCACTTTCCATGCTGTCAAAACCCATTCATTTTCCTATTGAATACAGAAACAAAAAGTAAAACCAAAGAACCTTCTAAACTTGAGTACTTATCCAAGGGCAGTTTCTAACATCAAGCCAAAATTAGCAACAACCAAGCAGACATCACCAATTTTTCAGTGTTAGATTACCGTAAACAGTAGATCTAGCTGTACAAAAAAAAACCACCCCAAACTCAAAAATCAAAGGCTTTTTTTTTTTTTTTTTAAAATGAGTCCAAAGAAATATCCACTGATCGCAGTCAAATTTGCATCAGAAGCTGCTTGCTCAGAGAAGATTTCTCCCTCTGAGTATTTTTAACACATTGCATTGCCAAGACTCTATTCAAATAAATTACTTTCTGGTAACATTTAGCTGATACAACCACCTACAATGTGGACAGTCATGTACACAGTACAATAGTGGATTTTTGCAGCAACAGAGAAAGGATCAGAAATCATTTCTAAGTTCAAGATGACAGCTCATGTGCTATTCCTTGCAAACATACGGTCCCCTCTAAGGGTGAGGTGTTGGAGCTGGTATTGTAGCACTTCTGTGTCAGCAGGTTCTTTAATGCTCATTTTGTCTAAATTGAGGTAGTCCAGGGATTTTGAATGAGCCCTTTTACCTTTCAAAAGGCAGAGAGGCAGGGGACCATGAAGTGCCTTGTAAGGTTCATATGGTAAAGCTTTATTGCATTTATCCCCTGAGCTGGGCATCCGCCTCCTCCTCCTCCCATTTACTGCTGGGATCTCATATGGCTGGTAGTACCTACTTCTCGTTTTGTACAAACGGGAGGAGCGCATGAGTCCTGGATCCAGCTGCTTGGAGCGCAAGTTCGGCCCAGATTCTCCTTTGTTCTCTTCAGCTCCTGTACATTTCTGGGCTAATTTTAGCAGCTCCTCTCCAGTTGTGAAGCCCACCAGGTAGTTAGAATCCATGTGGAGAATCTGGTATCCCGCAACTGTCCGCCGCATGGGCGAGCAGGGGGTACTGGAACAGCGGGGCTTTTCAGCTTCCATCCTGCCTGCAGAGCCCACCTCTGCAAGAGGCACAGGGAGGGTGGACAGGGCAGTTCTGGACTCTCCATTTATGTCAACTTCCATTTTAAACACAAGACTATCCTCCTAAAAATAAAACAGAGCTTGGTCAGAAAATAGAGCCTTTATGAAACACAGGGAGCTGAGAGAGGATCGCAGAAATGGGATTTTGTATCATCCAGATCAGTACTTCTCTGTTCAGCCTTGACTTAGGCTCTCCAGGGTGTCATATTAATAGAAATATCACCAACATCTGCCTTTTAAGATTGTCTTGTGTGGGTTTTTTAATAAAAGATACCATAAATACACTTAGATTCTTAACCACTAAAAACATAATTGAACAGTATTGTACACAAAAAAAGAAAAAAGAAAAAGCATTTTTCAAGTCCATTTTTTCAACTTTTTAGTTCATTTGATTCCTTACAGTGACTCACCTCTGTGGGCATCTACAAGCATCAGCACATCCACAGCAACTTCTGCCATATTTACAGTGTATTTTTTCTACTGGCAATAATCTCATTAACCAATGTTTTCAAAAAATGTGTCTGACAGCTGCCGCCTCATTCAGGCATGACCTGATCTATTGAGTGTACTGCACTGCTTCCATCTGCCAGATGTGAAGACAACTTGCTTTAGATTCAGAGAACAGCATCATGGCTGTTCAACATCTGTCTGTACAGGTCATCAGCAATCCTCCCCCACCCCAAGAAAACCCACATATCATCTCATTCACAATCAACCAAACACACACTTTTATTCTAATGAGATTCCAATGTATTTCTAACAAAGCATACTCTGTTTAGTAAATACAGGATTAGATTCTTATAAGTGTCCTAAGAATAATCAGTATTTGTTTTTCTTATTTCTTTTGCAAACAGTCTATTTTGCCCTGACCTTTCTTCCCTTACAATTATTCTAAATACTTTGTTTGGTGCCTTTATAGATTCAAGTGCTCACCACAAGCCATTACCACCTCTAACATGGAAAGATGTGGTCACTATCACAGCAAGTATACACCAGTACACTCCAGAACACAGGAAAGCCTTCTTTTTACTTCTTCATTTTCAGCATCATCTAAACCATCTCAGTGACACAGCTACTTCACAAAACAGAAAGGTCACGTTTTTTTCCAAATCCATGCTTTCTTCATTGTCAGCCTCACCTTTTCCCTGAACAGAATCTAGTGGTTCTCTAGTCAGTACAGTTCAAAAGCTCAATAATGCTTCACAAATGAAACTGATTTAAAACTTGCTATTAACTATTTTTAAACTGCTACTTGCTGCCCTTCTGAGGCTTAGGAGGTCACAGGCCAAGTAGCAAAAAGGCAACAAAAAAGGAAATACTTTTCTTCTGCAATTAGATGTAAATATCACTTAGCAAAAGAAAATATTCTAGCCCTATGAAAAATTTGTTTCTGTTCAGGGCATGGGAAGCAGCAGTTTCAAGTAATGTTCTCACCTCTGCTTCCCTGCTTAGTCTCATATCAACCTGCTGGTCCCTATGCTAATAAAATAGGAGCAAACAAAATCTCCAGAGTTCTGCTGAAGAGGATTTTATTTGCCATTAACAAACTTCTATTATGAAGAGATTGTTAGTAATGTTCCTTCAGTCTTAAGTGTTCTTTTCATTCTCACAGTTGTGGTCTGCTTAGGATTCTTCATTACCAGTTTTATGTAGCATAACTTTGACAGATACACTTCATCAGTGAGCTTTTAAGCATTTGGGGGTTGGACTAGATGATCTTCAGAGTTCCCTTCCAACTGTAACAACTGTGATTCTGTGAATCAAACAATACAGCTAATACAGCAAAAGCTAAATAAAAAATTAAAATACCAAACACTGAAATTTCTCACGGAAAAAAGTCTACATTAAACTCAATAATGTTGCCAATTAAACTTAACTGAATTAAATGTATATTTATGGAGTCAATAAACACTTTCAGAATAGGAGAAGCAGTTGTTGTTTCCTACTTTAGCACCATACCAAGCAATGAGACAACAAATTTGATGAGGTTTCAGCCACTGAGTCAAAGATATTAATGGTAATTTCTTAAGTAGAAATGAACCAGCAGCAACCATAATTACTGGAGGCATAGCAGAAAAATTTCTCATTAAAACTTTCAGCTATCCTGTGGTTTTAGCCAAGAAACCCTAAGTATCTGTTCTTGTTCGTTTAATTCCCAATTTTTACCCTGCAGTTTAGAAATCTTTCCAGGAACCTTCCAGAAAGACTAAACATGTTCTGTTAAAAGAAACTGAAATTATGCTACAAAACAGTATAAATAAAATAGTCATACAGCAATGTTAAAAATTAATCATATTATCTAGTCACACATAAACAGGAAAACCAACAAAAAAACCCCAAACAAACAAACAAACAAAACCCACAAAAACCCAAAACCAAAACAAAAAACACCCTCCCGCCCCCACCACCAAAAAAAACCAAACCCAAAAAACCTGAACAATCACCTGCAACAGCAATAAGTACCCTAAAGAAAGGGAAGGAGGAAGAAATGTATTTGTGCACTTTTTAAATTAAAAAAGCCTTGAGAACCTGAAAGCAACATGAAGGAACTTCTCAGAAAACACCTTTCAAAATGTATTTACTTCTGCTTGAAACATGGTGGGGGGGGGATGCTGGTAACAGAAAACAACTTGGAAAGGTAACCAAGGAGGAGAGGAAGGAGTCAGCAGCCCACTGCCCAACAATTACCCCTCACTGGCCAAACCCAGTACAAACCAAACTCAGAGTAGAGAAGCCTTCGAGTGAGAAAGCTCCAGCCTGTTCTTCAGCCTGAAACTGCAGAACTCTGTTTCTGTGCTCCAATTAGAAGAACAGCCCTAAACCCAAGAAATCTGTCAGACACTCGAAAGCAACAGTAACACCAGAAGCTGGAGCCATAGACATCAAAAGCTCCAGGGGACAGCACTACTAGCTGGTGACAGCCCCACCAGCAGAGGTCCAAAACTCAGCATATATGTACTTGGCTGTTCTTTCCCAAGACTTTTAAATGTGAGTTACTCAAGCTGCCATATGGCTTCAACGTGCTTTGTATCCTTATCAGGTAAAAATCCATTTCTACACTTATAAAGTATTTGATGACTCCTCTTATGCTCACTGGTGTTCAATAATGTAAACTCATCAGTAAATCTCAGCAGCAACTATAATACTGGAAAAACCAGTACTTCAGTTTGAAAAGATTATTTCTTCAGATCACAGCTGGTTTATCTTCTTGTTTGTCAAAGAGAATGATAACAGAGTGATGCCAATTCAAGGCACTTCGTAATTAAAGATTTATTACTGAATCAAAGCAAGGAGAGGAGGAACAAGATGGCATATCCTCTCCTCTGCTGCTCCTCCACATATTTGAAAAAACAGGGAAATTAACTAAAAATAACAGTTACCAAAAGGATTCACTTGACCAATATACACCAGCAGTGTTTCCAGAATACAATTCACTCCAATAAAATTTTACAAGATTTTATCAATTCTCTTTGTAATATAAAGCAAGCTCTGCATAAAAATTAATCTGGCCCAATCTGGCTAAATAAGGAGAACACTGTCTAAAACACAGAACCGAGAAACAGTAAAGAGAAATCCTAGGTCAAGTACTATAAATCATTGTATGACCTCAAAGAATACATGAATATGTTTGGAATAGCTCTTTGAGGGTAAAACTCTCAAAATCGCCACATTTTGCAAATATAAATGCTTTCTGACTATTGAAACTTTCACAAAGGTGTCAGATACCACTCTCACAGCATGCGACAAACGAAAACAGGCATGTATGACACATTAATGCCTGACATCGCACCATGCTTTAATATATGCATTGTAAATCATTTGTGTTGAAATGCATTCTCACCATGTGCCTCACTGCACCCAATAACATCTTTTGTTCCGGTTATTTTTTCTGTCACATTTATTACTCACTGTCTTTCTGAGGAGAGAAATGTGACTTAAAAATATAAACTTTTTACTCAGAATTTAAAGACAAAGAAAGATGAAGAGGTATTTCCCTTGACACTCCCAGGCTTTGTAAAAACTCTGCATTATTTTGAAACTACCAGCATCAACTGCCCTCAACAAAAAAAACTGGTTCTCTGTAACTTGGCATTTCTTGTTACTTATCTTCTCAGCTAGAATTTGAACTGATTTAAGAAGATGTCCTTTTTTTGGTTTAAATAAGCACTGAATTTCCATCCACCCAGCAAGTAGATTTTACTTTTTCTTAAGAACCAATCTTTTATTTCCCCCTATTGTTGCCTGTAGGCAACAATATTTGTTAAGAACCACTGAGATCTATCTCATTGATAAAATGGCTGTAAACTGCAACATGCATATAGCAGAATGGAGATGGCAACAGACTCAGTGATACCAACTCCATAAAAGAGTCAAACATATTGAATAGAGATATAAGGCCAGTTGTGACTTTCCCTTCTCTGTGCTCCTATTACTTAATATATACAATGCACTTAAAAGATACATTTGCCTATCAAGCATCAGGAGTAAGTGAAGTCACCCATCATGCGTGAAGAACATGTGAAGTCAGTCACACACTTTTAATTATTTCAATTGTCTCTGTTTGTGAGGGGCAAAAAATAAGGCATACATCTTACCCCTAGCAGTCTGAAAAGAAAAAAAATCACCTACATGCAGTATGTGCTCTTGGAAATCCCTTATTCTCTCTCACTGAAACATCTGGAGTTACATATTTGTACAGCAAAAATTTCTAAAAATAATTATTTCCAACCTGTAACTAAAAGAGCTGAAGTATCTGGCTGAAATGGAAAAAAATAGTCAAGCTAAAAGGAGCTACATAAGAGTATCCACAAAGGGGCCACATTTACTTATCTAAAGCTGGGGCATCCAGGCTACGGACCTTGAGATGTGTCAGCTTCCAGGCTCTTCCAGGGCAAGTTGGGATACTGTTGCCCACACTGCCAGAGAAGAATATTTGTTTTAGTCATCCTCTTTACCTTCTGCTGAAGGGATTTAGACTATGCTGCTTCACCGCGCTTTGTTTTACAGACTGATACCATGTTTAAGTTAAAAAAAAAAAAAATCACAGAGAACAAGCATGAAAGGGATCAATAAAATACACACATTCTTCAACAGCTCTGTCTCTTAGAAGAAATTCCAAAGTACTCTAAGCTAAAGAGAACCGAGGTAATATTAAATTGTTGCACCACACAAGACAACATTCAAATGGAGTAAGAACTAAGTTTAGAACAGATTTACTTCCTCAAAATCACATGCAAGAAAATTAAAATATGCATAAGGCATACGTTATAATCCTACAGGCCTTAAGAAAACAGATGAATGGATATTACTGAATTAATAAAGCCAGTGCACTAACTACAGAATGTGATGTAAAACAAAAGCCCACAAAACAACCAGTAAAGTGGGATGGGGGGATAGGGGAGTGTTGGGGGGGCCGTTTCTTGTCAACAGGTAAAGTATTAAGCCATTCAGCTCGCCAGTATACTAGACAATAAATACCGCATGATTTACACAGAACTAGGAATTATATTTTCAAAAAGATTACATGAATTTCTAACAATTTGTTCCTGCTGCAAGAACTATTTAACCAGTTTGTTAATTCTTGTTATTAATGTAGCTTTAAACAGAAAACAACTATGATCCAGGAAACTACCTTTTAAGATTAAACAGGATCACAAGTGCATTACTGAGGTGCTACAATTAGCAAATCCAGTGACTAGCTCAGACCAGACCAGCATGGCAGAGCATACAATTTACACAAAAGAGAGACAGATGGAATGTCAAGAGTCTGACCGGTCTAATGAATTTTGTATGAGCAGACTTAGCAAGCAGGAAAAGTAAAAGCAAATGGTGGGAAAGAAGGCCACTTAACTCTAGCATCCCTTTGCCAAGCAATACTAGATGGAAGTGTTTAACAGAGGATAACTTCTCTGAAATATTTGGCTTTCATATGAACAGTGGGACTTCCTTGCTAGATGGAATCAGAGATGAACATTCATTCTGTCAGTAAAATGATGCTCCTGGCCAGCATAAAGGTGGTTGTTTTTGTTACTCATCAAAAGATGAGACAGTGAGATACATGTAAAGATGCTGATGCATATTGTACAACATAGTTTTTATTCTTTAGCTAGTAAGTTTTCCTTGTAATTGCATTTCTATTTATCTATTTTTATCTTCATTTTTTCATCAACCAATATCTAAGTTTCATTTTGGAAGTTCTCTCCAGTCTCAGATTAGCCCACTTGGAAAAAAAAAAACCAAACAACCTGACTTGTCAACTAAAAACTAAACTGCCTTTCAAAAACAATAGATAGGAAACAAAGTCAACAAAACAAAGTATTTAAAGTATTGCAGATTTCACTGCATAAATACTTATTTTTGTCTTTGAAAACCAAAATGCTAATGGGACTAAAGGTCTGCATTGGTTTTGTGTCAGATAAGAAATTCATGTTTGGTTTTGTTCTCTATTGTCAGGTCTCAAAATACAGTTCTGTGACGTTATTTTGAAACTACCAATGTAAACAACTATACTCAGTCCTTTGAGACTCAGAACAGTTATTCAAATAAATACACTTTAAAAATAAGACCTACTCAAAGATATCAAGAAAAACACGTATAATCAATGCAATTTAGTTATCTGAGTTTTATGTTTTAACAGAAGCACTTTAAACTGCTACTTCTTTGTCTTACTTGATACAATCTGCAGCAGATATTTAGATATTTGTTGGGAGGGTGCATCACTCACTTATACCATCACACTGCTAAAGGTCACTTACTCCGGCTCAGGAGAGTTACATATACAAAGGCCTTAAAGTTGTCTGCCTACTCGTCAAATGCTCCTTCCCTCACCAAAATGCTACTTAAGAACAAGTATTTAAGTCATGCAAGTATGGAATAATAATTATTAAAAGTCCAACAGCACAAGAAGGCACAGTAAATTTCTATTAAACTTACAACTAGTGTGAAGAGAAATCTTTGTCCCAGAATACTGAGTTCATCTGACTTTGCCACAACAAGGTGTATTTGCATGTGATTATGGATGCCTGGTGGCCAGGCCAGCAGCATAAGGCTGGTCAAAGAAGAGATTATAGAGAAAGCCACGCTGTAATGTCAGTGCTGTTATGCAAGAGCTTAATTTCAGCGATTGAACTGCCACTGCCTCATTTCCCTCCACGGCCACTGCGAGAACCACCCTCCTCCATCTTCATTATTCTAACAAAGGCTCTCCCTCAAGGGGGAGAAAAAATAAAATTGAGCAAGCATACCACGTCAGACAGAATATGGTTCAAAATACACCAACAGCAGGAGGGTGGTGGTGGGTGGAGCAGCTTTCTGCCATCAATTCATTTCTGCAGGCAGCTATGCCAGCACATATGTATGAGTGTGCATGACACACTGGCCCACTCTGGAGAACACTCTGACAAAAACACGTTCATGGGAAACATCTGCTAAAGTACATAATTTCCTTTTTTCCTAATAATAGCTACATACACACACTGATGCCAGATAAACCCCTATGTAAAATAGCATATAAATATCATACATAGACAATTAAGACCTGCTGTAGACTACTCAAACAGCACCTCAACTGTACAGAGACACTCCCCTAATATCTTAATATGCAGAGACAGCAATGGCAAAACATGCCTGCTAACAAACCAAAGCAGCTGAGCAAGTTCCATACTCAGTAAAACAACTCTTTAATGCACCTGAGAGCGCACAAGGGCAATCAGTGAGCATCACAGGTAGCACAATGAACATCTAAACACAACTCCCAGCCTCTCTTTACTCTTCAGTAAGCAAGACCTCCTGCAAAGAAATACAGTTACCCATAGAAGCTGGGCACTAGTACATTTTGTTACTAGTGAGGTCATATTCAATCTATCACTTGCCTGAGCACGGGGACTGCCCGTGGCGATAAGCTGCAATTGAAAAGATGTATAAATGGTTATGTATACTAAATACATATGTATAAATACATATATAGATATATATAAATACACACACTAACACTATATACAGGTGCTAATAGGTGAATTCTGGAGCTTCCCCATCGCTAACACCGCTACCCCCGGCTGGCACAGAACGCGCTCTGGAGTGGCCTCCCCGGTAGGCTCCAGGCCCTGCACACACGGCACTCCCCGGGCTCCCCTGCACACACACGAGGGCCGGGACCACCGCCCCGGTGTCCTCCCGGACCTGCCCTGCTCCTCCTGCCCTGCTCCTCCAGCCGGCCCAGCCCCGCCGCCCCTGGGGCCGCGATCTCCGGCTCTGTCCCGGCGGCTCTGCCCCGGCCCCGCCGCCCGTGGCGGCCCCGCCGCGGCTCTGAGGACGCAGAGGCGCCAAGGCCGCCGCCCGTGGGAGGCCCGGGCCGCGCCGAGCGGCTCCACCGGATCGGGGGCGGCATCCCCGCGGTTCCCGGTGGGCCCACCTCGCACCGCGCCTGCCCTGCGGCCCTTCCCTGGGCCCGGGCCCAGCCGCCGACCCCGCTCCAGGAGCCGCGGGCAGGGCCCGGGACTCCATCCCCGCCCGCCCGGTCCTACCTGCGGCCGGCGCACGGGGCGGGGGCCCGGGCAGAGCAGCGGCCGGGGCGGTGAGCGGGGATTCCGCTTCCCCCGGGCCCGCCCGGCGCGGGCTGAGGGCGGAGCGCGGCGGCGGCTCCGCGGCGTGTCCCGGCCGCTCCGCCCGCCCTTCCCCGCCCTCCCCGACCGCAGCCTGCTCCTGCTGCCGCTGCCATCCCACCTGCTCTGATACTCCCTCACAAGCTTTAGTCGCTCATGCCATTTCTCTTCGTACACGACTGTGAGGATGGATCGAGTAACCATCTCTCCAGTAACCATCTCTTGCTGACTCGCTCGTCCCTGAAATACCGCCCGTCTCCACCGATAACCCCTGTGGTATGTCATGCACACAAAGTTTGGACACGGCGTATATGTGATTGGTAATATGACTAATTGGATGTTGCCCATGCAAAGGCCATGCTCTGTCCTCCCTCTGATCCCAGTGGTCCTGGCAAGAAGTTTGCAGATCATTTGGTCTTCAACTACAGAGAAGGGTGCTGGCAATCTGTGTGTACCCAGACTATCCGATCATTGTGCACCCAGATGCTCCTGCTCCTGGAATTTGCGTTTGTTGGAGATTCTTACCTAGGACAGACAATGGAGACATAAAGAACAAGGTATTTGCACAGAATTTTAATTAATGGCTCTGCAAACCCTTAAGAGTCATTGGGTTTGTGAGTTCACAAAAGTATTCTAAGAACTAAATTAGTACAGTACAGAACAGTATTAAATCAGAACAGAACATGGAGAACATATCTGGTCAAGCAGCAGTGTAAGAACCCACACTAAGATTAGCTCGGTTGGAGCATGGTGCTAATAATTCCAGGTTTATGTGTTTGATCCATGTACAGGCCATTCACTTATGAGTCAGACTTGATGATCCTTGTGGATCCTTTCCAACTCAGAATATTCTCTGAAAATGAAGCTGGAGTGTAATTCACAGGCATTATGGTGCTCTGTGTTGCTTATAGTACACAAACTCCTTGTTCATGTTGACATCTGCAGTACCAGCCTGAGCCAGAAATCCCACCTATGTTGTTTTGTGGTATAAACGAGATTCTAAAATCTTACGAATCAGTATATCCCAACTTTCCCCCCAAAGAATTTCCCCTTCTTGCTGTCCATGAGTTGTCAGTCAGGTTCACAGATGAAGTTCCAAGGAGGAGAGGGCAGGCAGAAGTGGTCATTGACTTCAGGAGGCAACAAATGTTTGGGGGTGATCATAATATTTTCTGGCTGTGTTTAAAAGAAAGAATGCTTTACAGACTAGCAGTCCTGTGTGTCCTCCCCCGCTCCAATCAGATATATTATTTTGTAATTAATTGTAATATTTAATAACATTCATTACATTGATAGAATTAACATGATGTAAACTCTTAAATTTATAGATATCAAAAGTAAAGCAGATCCTGAAAACCTCTCCTAAGGATAGTTTTCACATTCCACACCAAATATTTGAAAATAAAACCTACAGCTTCCTAAATCCCGATCATTTTCAAAGTTCTGGATTTTCCATGCAGCCAGGAATGTCATAAAGATTTTCTCAAGACTGACTACTGTATTTCAATCCTTTTTTTACAATATTTTTTTCAAATCATTCAAGATTTTGTATGAAGAACAGAGATATTTTGAAGAGCTTGGGCTTTGTTTTCCCACCTAAGATCTGAACACTTGTTAGTGCCACTGCAACAGTGGCACAGCAAAACAGACCATTACAGACCATTTTCTCTGTATGGTCACCCTGGCCAGAACATGAACTACCTACATCTCACAGTGGCTATGCTCATCAGTACTTTTCCAGATTAATGAGAGTCAATTGGAATGACATTACAATGCCATTTAGAAAAGTAAACATAATATTAAAGGTAAAACACATACAAAAAAGGGCTCAATTTTTATTATTCTCTGCAAGTTCTTCCTTATTTATTATTCTAATAGAGCTTTTTATCAAAAGGCTTTTTTTTCCTTGCTATTCCTGTATTCCAGGTTTGTACATTGGAAACTGCTATGGTGTTTTGAGCATTAGTGAAGTTATTAAATCACAAGGGCTGAAAGCTGAGTAATTTAGAGAATATTTACTCAGTGACTTTCTTTGATTCTCTGCACATGGATTTTATTCCAAAGACTAATGAGTCAAACATTTTTTATTAAATATTCACTTACCCATATGAAGAATTGTAGCCATTATTTTGAAAATCTGAATTTTGCTGGAAATCCATAACCATGTTCAGAATAAAATATAAGATACCTAATTGAGAGGGGACAGGCAAGAGAAAAACAGTTCTGAGCAGGGTATGGTTGAGGTGGTAGCATAACTTTCACACTGAAAAAAAATTGGAATATTTTTATGTTGAAAGAGAAATAAAGAAATATTATCTATTGCCATACAACTTAGCAACTTTTGCCATCCGAACTCAAAAGCTTAGTCATATCTTAAAAGTCTATGTGGCTAAGCTAAAAAAACCCCTACAGTGAAAATTTACTCAGAACCCAAGCAAAATGTCTTTGAGACAGTATTTAATAAAATCCCACCTTTATTTTTTATATAAAAAGTTAAAAAATAGTTTTAGTAAGTGTGAAAAGCAGTCCTTGATTTACTTTTGAGCCAAATTCACTTTTTTGCCTAATAAATCTGATTTCAATTGGAATAACATCTACTTAAGCAAGGCTGAATTTGTGTCCAGATGGACACAAGCACAGGAAAGATTTTGAAAAAGGAGGGAGTTTTAGAACTTCATGTGTTTAGCACAACTTCAGTTAGTACCAACTCTAATTTAGAGCATCTAGAAGCCATAACAGAATCATCAAACATGAAAAGACAGAATCTGTCCTACACTGAGATCTAAAACTTAGTGGGAAAGGGAAGTTTTGGACCATCTTTGACAAATTATGCATTTAATATGCACATGTATAGGAAGAGGCAACAGAAAGTACTTGCCAATGTTGCCATAGGTCTGTTACATGAACTAAGTAGGTTTATAAAAGTCAAAATACACATTATTAAAGATGCAAGAGAAGTGAAGACACATTCATGATCGGACCAGGGTGCTCACAGAGTTGGTGCAGTCTCCATCCTTCAAGGTTCTTGAGGCCAGAGTGGATTAAGTGACTTGGTGTCATAGTTCGTATTTTTAGCAAAGAATTTTTCTTTCCTTTCCTCCTGCCTGTGTGTGTGTTCTGTGATGGGCCATTTTAGTTGAACAAAAGAATCACCCGGAGCCCTTAACGATGGAGATTTGTCTCCTTGACAACGAAGGGGGGAGTTGGCTGGTGTGTGACTGGAAGGGGTGGAGGCTGGGGGAGGAGACTCTCTCTCGCACTGCCGGGGTGAGAGGCTGCTGCGGGCTGCAGACACTGCCGGGCTCCTTTGTTTCTTTTCCTGTCGGAGGGGAGTTTCTGGCGGCTGCTCTTGGCTCACCTCTGGCTGACTACAAGCTCTGCTTACAACGGACCCTAATCAGCTGAAGTTTGTGAGTTTTCTTCCATTGGGAGAACTTTCTGTTTTATTGCTGTTGTTCCCCTCTCCTCCTCCCGGTGGCAGCCAAGGATCCAACAGCGCCACCTGGTGACGGGCACTGACATTACAAGTTCAACTCCTTCAGTGATCCAACAGCGCCACCTGGTGACTACAATAGGACACTACAAGTTTTTTACACCTTCAGTGACCCAACAGCGCCACCTGGTGAATGGTACAGGACATTACAAATTTTGCATCTCCAGTGACCCGACGGCGCCCCTGCTGACTGTGGTTGGAACAGCACCAAAGGGTGCAAGAAATTGAACTATTTCTTTTTTTGCCGGTTTATCAGTTTTGTTCTTGAAGGGGATTATTGGTGGGTATAGGAGTATTACTTAGTTATTTTACTTGAGTTTTTTTTTCGTGTTCCTGTTAATACACACATACCTTTTAATAAAGGGCTGTTATTTTCCCTTTTCCATAATTTGTTTTCCTTCAATTGGAGCCTCTTAATTTTGGATTTATAATTGTTTGGAAAGAGAAGTTTGGGTCTTTTCCTCCTAATTCATCCTCAGCAAAAGACCCTTGTCTCATTTAAACTGGGACATCTTTGGCGCCCAACGTGGGGCCCGAGAGAGGAAAAAGTGGAAAAGGAATAACTGCCCTTGTGTGACTTGGATATGTGTTTGTGAACCTATAGGCACCATGAAGTCTAAGATCGTTGCTTTTCTGTGGTATATAATTATGCCGAAATCTATGTCCCACCTGTCGATGTTTTTC